TGTGAGAGAGAGAGAGAGAGAGAGAGAGAGAGAGAGAATGTGTGGCTTGGCCAGGCTTGCCACTTGAGTTCGAGTTTGTGGCTCCATGGACGGGCACCCTTAAGGTCCCAAAATTCTACGGAGTCTGAGTGGGCTCTCCTGAGTCTCAGTGAAAGGCATATGGTCCAGGGTGGCATCAGATTAGACTCCGATCACAAGTCACAAAGCTGAGTCTGCTACGGCCAAGCCTCACCTAAAGTTTCCCTTGGGAACACGACCAATGGAGTATCTGGTTGGTCCTGAGGGCATCTGAGGGGATACCCTCCCTTTGTCTGTTTCCCTGACACCAAACACGAGAAAGGAATTAATAATGGGATCAAAACAGAGTAAGCCTACAATTTTAGAGGTCACGCTCAAAAATTTTAAAAAGGGATTTTCAGGCGATTACAGGGTGAAAATGGCACCCAGGAAGTTAAGGACCTTTTGTGAACTAGAATGGCCCATATTGAATGTAGGATGGCCCCCGGAACGGACATTAGATGCTCAAGTAGTGCAGCGGGTTTGGCTGATAATCAATGGGAACCCAGGTCGCCCTGATAAATTTCCATACATCGACTCCTGACTTGAAATTGCCTGAAATCCTCTGTCTTAGGTGCGACTCATCCATAGCAAGCAGAGTCAGGCAAAGGTTTTAGCAGCTTTATCCGGAGATTCACCCAGGGAGCCAAAGAAGAAACTCACCACTCCCCTAGTGTTTGCATGACACCTGGAGGAAGATCCCGTCTTTCTGCCACCTTATGACTCACCAGGCTCCCTCCCCCATGCCCCTGAGCTTGAAACTCCTCCCCCATCTGTCTCTCCTCTGCTGCCACTGCTGTCCATGTCTCCTCACCTCCTGCACCCAGAGAACCCTCCCTGGGAGACAAGGGCCAGCAGCCAGACCGCACCCCAGACCCAGACCTAACGCTCTCCAAATGCCTGTAAGGGAGACAAGAGCCTGAAAGACAGAATGAGGATGGAACAGTCCAGCCAGCCATTCCATGATGTATTATCAACCTTTCTCTACAACCAACCTCCTCAACTGGAAACACAATACTCCATCATACTCTGAAAAGCCACAAGCAATGGTCAACTTGATGGAGTCCCTCTTCCAGACCCACCGACTGACTTGGGAAGATAGTCAACAGTTATTCCGTACTCTGTTTAATACAGAAGAAAGAAGAAGAATGAGAGAAACATGACAGTATCCAGAAGATCACACACCTCCGAGGATCAATGACCCTGCTGTCTGGGCTCAAGCTGCTGTGCCTGAAGAACGCCCAACATGGGATTTCACCACAGAAGGACAAGCCCACATCCGATGATACCAGGAAGCCCTCCTTGGGGGAATCCAAGCTGGAGCCAAAAAGCCCATGAACATGACTAAAATACCATCAGAAGAAAATTCCAGAAGTTGGAGGGCTTTGCCGGGATGAATATCAATCAGCTGATAGAGGTTGCCAGTAAAGTTTCATGAACAGAGAAGTCACAGCCAAAAGAGAAGCAGAGAGAAGACTAAAAAAGAAGGCCACCTTTCTCGCAGCAGCACTAAAAGAAACAGACGCTGTGAAGATGGGAAGACCCCAACCACCAAAAGGGGGGAAGACCAGAGCCCCCTTAGCAAGGGACCAATGTGCATACTGCAAATAGAAGGGACCCTGGAAAAATGAATGTCCAAATTGGAAGGGCCCCTCAAAGCCCTGCTGATATCGGGAAGAACCTCGAGGCGAGAACCTCATCGGTCTGGCCGGGATAGAATCAGACTGAAGGGACAGGGCTCTTTCTCTCTTGGCCCCCATGAAATGAAAGTAGGGGGCCAAACAATAAATTTCATTGTTGACACTGGAGCTGAACACTCGGTTGTTACTTCCCTGGTGGCGCCCTTCAGCCAAAAGATGGAAACCATACTTGGGGCTACTGGGACACAGTGATGCAGCCCTTCCGTCAAGCTCGACAATGTGAACCTGGGGGTCACAAGGTCTGGCATGAGTTCCTCTACTTACCTGACTGCTCAATTCCTCTCCTGGGCCACGGATCTGCTCTCCAAACTTGGGGACCAGATAACTTTTGAACCCACTGGACACATTAGCCTCCAGTTCAACTCAAGGCAGAAGGATACCCTGGTCGTGGCGATTACCCTGCCAAGGGAAGAAGAATGGAGACTATTCTGAGCCCAGGCCCTACCCTGTAGCCCTTCAGAGTTCAGGCTTACATTCCCTTCTTTATGGGCTGAAGATAACCCACCTGGACTAGCTTGGAACTGGACCCCATCATTGTTGACCTGATCCCTGGAGCCCAACCTTGGAGACAAAGGCAGACTCCCTTCCACTCGAGGCTAGAATGGGTATACAAGAGCACCTGACCAAGCTCAGAGAAGCAGGTATTCTAACTGTGTGCCAATCGGCTTGGAATACCCCACTCATGCCAGTCAAGAAGCCAGGAGGAGGATACCAACCAGTACAGGATTTGAGGGCCATTAACAAAGTGTTTCCTTACACCCAGTGGTTCTGAACCCGTATACACTCCTCAGCCAAATTCCAGGGTCAGCCAGATGGTTTACATGCCTCGACTTAAAGGATGCTTTCTTCTGCCTCCGCCTGGCTCCTCAAAGTCAACAGCCATTGTTTGCCTTTGAATGGACTGAGTCCATTACAGGGCGCCAGCTGCAGCTGACCCGGACACAACTTCCCCAAGGCTTCAAGAACTTGCCCACTCTTTTTGGGGAAGTACTAGCTGCCGACCTCATCGACTTTCTGAGGGAAATCACAGGGTGTGTCCTCCTCCAATATGTAGACGACCCCCTCCTTGCCAGCGACACCCAAGAAAACTGTATGAAAGGTACCAAGGCCCTCCTGCAGCTCCTATCCTACTTGGGGTACCAGGCCTCTTGGAAAAAAGCACAGATTTGTCAGCAGCAGGTCCGATATTTAGGCTTCCTCCTCACAAAAGGAAAAAGAGAACTAGGACCAGAAAGGAAAAATGTTATCACCACACTGCCACAGCTCCCCCCCAAAAAATGAGGCTTGCATGAATTTTTAGGGGTCGCAGGGTTCTGTCGCATTTGGATTTCCGGATTCTCAGCCATAGTGAGGCCCTTCTATGACCTCTTGGGAGGGCCAGACTGGGAGCCCCTCGCATGAACTGAGGACGCAAGGGCTGCTTTCACAGAAATAAAGCTGGCTCTGGGACGAGCTCCAGCCCTGGGTTTGCCTGACATAGAAAGGCCCTTTAACCTCTTCGTACATTAAAGGACAAAATAGCCCTTGGAGTGCTCACTCAGAACATGGGGCCTTGACAACAGCCAGTAGCCTACCTGTCAAAAAAAAACTTGATCCTGTGGTTTCAGGATGGCCTCCCGTGCCTCAGAGCACTAGCAGCCACAGTCCTGCTCTTCAAGGAGGCAGACAAACTCACACTGGGACAAACACTTAATGTTAAGGTCCCACACGCAGTCATGTCCCTCATGAGCACCCAAGGATATTGTTTCCTCTCCAATTCTTGGCTGACACAATACCAAGGCCTTCTCCATGAAAACCCAAGGGTCACTCTCGAAACAGTAAGAACACTAAACCCGGCCACCTTCCTTCCCACAGAAGAGGGAGAACCTGACCATGACTGTTCCAAAGTAGTGGATGAAGTCCATGCCAGCTGCCTGGACCTCCAAGACCAGGCTATAACAAGTCCAGAGACCATCCTGTTCAGCGATGGGAGCATCTATTTATAAGAGGGCAGCCGAAGAGCAGGATATGCGGTAACCACAACCACCAAAGTTCTGTAAGCCAAGGCATTGCCAGAAGGATGGTTGGCAGAACGAGCTGAACTGTATGCCTTAACCTGAGCCTTCATCCTTAGCAAAGGTAAATGAGTTAACATCTATACTGATTCTCGGTATGCCTTCACTACTGTGCATGTACACAGGGCCATCTGTAAAGAAAGAGGCCTCCTTACTGCTGCAGGGAAAATTATCAAAAAACAAGGAAGAAATGCTAAAGCTTCTTGAGGCCGTATGGCTGCCAGACAAGGTAGCTATCCTACACTGTAAGGGACATCAGAAAGGAGACGACCCCATAACTCAAAAAACTCACCTGCGAAAGGCCATATTTCATTCTTTCTCATTGCCATGTAGTGTTCCAT